TAGAGCAGACAGGTCTGGGTCTGCGGTTCATCGATAAGATTATGTCCCTTTACTCTCACCCCATGGCATCTGTTCTCACGAATGGCATGGCCTCTGCGCCCTTCTCTATCTTGAATGGTACTAGACAGGGATGCCCTCTGTCTCCCCTACTTTTTGTTTTGGTCATGTAACATCTGGCATGGGCTATACAGGCTAATGATTCTATTCTAGGCATTCATACCCCCTCCTCATATCATAAACTTTATTTTTATGCAGACACCCTCCTAATTTATATGCAACAACCACTCATTTCTCTCCCTAGGCTGCTTCGTAAGTTCCACAGATTCGGTTAGTTCAGTAACTTCAAACTTAACATCTCAAAAACGGAGGCATTAAATATTTCTCTACCTGATTGTGTGCTGTCACACCTTCGCTCTAGCTTTTCTTTTGAATGCCGTCCAAAGGCTATCTCGTGGTTCTGATTTCTTTTGATCCTGCTGCACTTTACTTGCTTAATTATTTGACCCTACTTACACGTCTCCGCAAAGACTTGGCAGAGAGCCTCCTCTCTGCCCTGGTTTGGACACATTAATACCCTTAATGTTATACGTTTTCCAGAAGGTTTCTTTGCCCAAGAGTTTCTTTCTCTCTTTATCAATCAGGTTTATTTGGCATTGAGGTTTCTCGAGATTGAAATACAAGCTGCTCACTTATCTGAAGCTTAGGGGTGGAGTGGGTTTACCTGATTTTGTGTTGTATTATAGGGCCGCCCTGTTAGCACGGGTACTTGACTGGTTCCCCAGACCCTTGCTTAAAGCCTCCTGTATGATAGAACAGGACCTATCACAGATTGACCTACGGCCCTCCTCTGGGGTTACGACTGTGACCTTCAGCTTTTACCTGGCCTGTCTCCATTGACTGTGGCTGCTTTGTGCTTGTGGTATAAACATGGCCTCCTTACCCTTCTATCCCTTCCCCTTAATCCTCCCTATTTGATAATCCCTCTCTCCCCCAAGGGACGGGATCCTCTGTGCTGGGTCCCTTTGCCCATACCCCTTGGGCGGTAGCTTGGGACTTTATCCACCCTCAGACAGGTCTCCCACTCCTCCCTGGCGGCTCCAGGGATTGGCTGACTGCTTTACATCTATCTTCGTTTTGTAAACTTTTACATTCCACTTCTCAAATTCATCTCCTGCTTACTGAATTAGAGCGGTTATGTTCCCTCTCTGAACCACTGAGACATGTCTTGGCCTCCCTTTATAGGGTATAGGGTAATACATGCTGCAATCCATGCTGAACCTCCGCCCTTCACCGGGGCATGGTCACGGGATATTGGCAAAGATATATCTGATGAGGAATGGTTTACGTCACTCTACTTCACCCATAAATCCTCTATATCTTGCTACTTTCAAGAAAATAATTTTAAGCTCCTCTCCAGATGGTATAGGGATCCTTATTCCCTTCACAAGATGTTCCCTTCTACATCCAATCTTTGTTGGCGTTGTAATACAGAGGTGGGTACTTAGTTCCATATTTGGTGGGAATGCAATAAAATTCGACCCTTTTGGTGTCAAGTTTTTTAAGTCTATAATAAAATCTATGGTGAGTCCCTGACTTCATTGCCAGAGATTGGCCTTCTCTCCATCTTACCAGGTTTGTTGGTGGCACAGAAGAAATGTTTATTACGTTTCTTCCTGTCTGCGGCTCGCCAATTGATACCGCTTTTCTGGAAAACGGCCACCCTCCCCCCTACCGTTGTAGGTTTCTGCGATTAATATCATGCGAATGAAAGAGATGTTGGAATTTGCCAATGATACCTATGAAAAACATTGTTATCATTATTAAGTTATTATGGTCAGTCTGGCTCCATTTTTCCTCCTCCTCGACCCTTCGGGAGTTATGTGCTCCTGCGGTGCCTCCTTAGACTTCGCCCGTTCAGTAGGGTGGAACCATGGTTATTTGTATTATGTCAATGTAATTGCTTTTGATTTGAATGCTTGGAATGCCCAGTTTAGGCACCTTTGGAGTGGGGCTATCCTGGTTCCGCCCCTTGTCTGTCCCGGCTCCCGACTCTCTTCTTTTGTTTTATATGGTGAACTCTACTTAGACATATATTGATGCTCTTAATGCCTTTTTATGGGACAATTTTTTCAGATATATGCCTAACATATGTTACTTCTCAAGGTTTTTCTAAATTGGCCAGTGATATTCGTTGACTACAGTTATCTCTTTGGCTCATCTCCTGTTTGAGCCTGATAATTGTCCATATGTGTATGTAATTGCTGGTCCCTTTCTTTTTCCTTTCTGTATACCCGGTTGTTAAAAACCTAATAAAGACAAATTTGCCTTTAAAATATTTGGTAACAACTCATCCTCTTGGCATTGTTCAGCCTCTGGGGTGGATTTTATGCATGTTTTCTGGGACTGCCTTGCCATACAGCGATACTGGTCTGGAGTGCTTCAGTGAGTCCAGTCAGTCACTAATATACCCCTTTGCCTGTATGGCTTTGACTCCTGAGTTTGGTGGATGACTTGGCCCCCACTAGGGCCATTCATACTTTTCTTACTCTCCTTTTTAATTATGCACGTAAACTTATTGTACTGTCCTGGAAGAAACCCGAGGCTCCAACTGTTGCAGCTTGGAAAGCTCTTATAAATAAGGCCCTCCCATTATATAAGACCACTTAAGCTAATAGAGGGGTACCCCTTAAATTTGATAAAGTCTGGGGTGGCTGGGTTTCTTCCTCACTTTCAGTGGCAGACTGAGGAGTACTAAACTTTGGTTTCCATGACAATTATATTAGATTGTTCATGCCTACTGCTTAGTGGTCTTGTTGGCCTGTGAGTTCATGTTGCTGGACTTTGTGACAATATGCCTTTATGTGCAGAAATGGTGTGGTGCATGTTTCTTTGTAACCTGTAGGATGTATGTTTTCTTTGGTAGGGGGGTGTCTTTTATCTCCTGAATGTATATGTATATTGACGTTCACTGTACAACATGGGCATGGTTTCCTCTCTTTTGTAGTTTGTATTTGGATGACTACCTGGCTTGTTCGGCTGTAGCCATAGATTGTTCTTTTGTTGTTAATTTTGTATGTCTTCTGAAAAATACCATTAAAAATAATTTTACAAAAAAAAAAAAATACTTGCCACAGTTATCCTTTCCTGATGAGATTCATGTAGCCTACTACTAGAGTATGCCCCACCCATACCCCCACCTGCAGGACCTAACTCATGAATGAGTCCTCTCTCTCTGACTCTCCCAGGCCTGCGGTACATACTGTAGCTAGATTTCTGCACTTGGGTGGGACTTTGTGCTGACATGGAGCTCATCAAGAAATTAAAATTGCAGTATTTGGTATTCAATTTTCTGTTTTCCTGACAGCTCCATGTCAGCCTACCACTGGGAATTAACTAGATAACCAGGGTGGGATGATTGGGAAACAAAATAAGGTTAATTGTGGCATCTGACTGAAGAGGTAAACATTTTGCTAAAATTAACAGTTGTCAACAACGATGGATAATGAGAAATAAAGGTGTGTATGGATGACCATGTTGTCACCTTGCAAATTGTCTCTGGCGAGACTCCACAGGCAGCCACCCATGAGGTCAATAAGTTTTTTGTGGAGTGCACCAGCCTGGGAGATGATGTAAAATTTATGAGTTAGGTCCTGCAGCTGGGGGTATGGGCGGGTCATACCTCAGTGGTAGGCTGACATGGAACTGTCAGGAAAACATTTTAACTCCTGAAAAATCTAATGCATGTTTCCAGAAAGGGATTGGAGAAAATGATGGTAAAAGAACAAAATCGTTACTTAATATGGTGTTGGACAGTCTTTGGCATCCAAGACAGTCTGAATTCACCTGGGAATTGACAAATAGAAGTCTTGGATGGTGGGTAATGGAATCTGATATCACTTCCTGCAAAAATCGTTTCAGTTCTTGTAGAGATACTAAAAATTAGACTGAATCTTGTTCTCCAAAATTGACCATAGTGGCTCTATGATATTGAGGTCTGGCGACTGCTGCACCCAGGGATGGTGTGAGACTTTGTCTGCATGCTTGTCAAAGCATGATTTGACAACACCAACTGTGTGAATCAGAGCATTATCATCTTGGTAAATGGCACTGTTTGCACCATGGGGTGCACATGGTCGGTCAAAATGTGTACATAGTCTTTGCCAGTAGTGACTCTACCTTTCAAGGTGATGATGGGGCCTGCAGAATACCAAGATATGGTTGTCCAAACCATGATGGTGCCGACACCATGCTTTACCATTGGCACAAGACAGTCCTGATCGTAAGCTTGGGAAAGTGTTGCCACATGAAATACTGCTACAGGGCAGCAGGGCTGCATAAAATCACATATATATACGTGATTTTGCATTTCCAGGTAGGGGGCGCGCTTGCCATACCCACGTCACCATTGTTGGCTTCAGCTGTCGATCACTGGATCCTGGCCGGTGATTTCCTGCTGGCACCCGGCAATCGCCGAGTATCAGTGACTGGGGAGAGGTCTGTATGTACCGTATTTTTCGCTCCATAAAATGCCTTTTTCCCCCCCAAAAAATGGGGGAAAATGTCTGTGTGTCTTATGGAGCAAATACGGAGCAGCCGGCCTGGTATTCCTGCTGCCACCGTGTTAGAATACCCGGCCGCCGGCCGCTCTGCTCTACTATGCAGAAGAACCTGCTCCTCGGTCCTACCTGTTCCTCGGTCCAGCGCTGTCCTGCTTTCACCAGCCATCTTCTCTCCCCAGCATCAGCATCTTCAGTGTGGGCACCTGGCTGTGACAGTTTGCGGCTTCACAGCCAGGTGCCCACTGCACATGCGCGAGAAGCGCTGCGCTTTGTGAATGGCCACCTGTAGTCTTCTGGGACCTGTCACATATCCCACAAGACTACAGGGAGGACAACTTCGGGTACCCCCCCCCCGTTATCCAAAGGTCTGCAGTCTCTGGTCATTTCCTGTAGTAGTCACTGTCCGCAGTCACTGGTCATCTCCTGTAGTATGTCTGCAGTCACTGGTCATCTCCTGTAGTATGTCCGCAGTCACTGTCATCTCCTGTAGTATGTCCGCAGTCTCTGGTCTTCTCCTGTACTATGTCCGCAATCTCTGGTCATCTCCTGTAGTATGTCCACAGTCACTGGTCATCTCCTGTAGTATGTCCGCAGTCACTGGTCATCTACTGTACTATGTCCACAGTCTCTGGTCACCTCCTGTAGTTTGTCCGCAGTCTCTAGTCATCTCCTGTAGTCCTGTAGTATGTCTGCAGTCTCTGGTCTTCTCCTGTACTATGTCCGCAGTCTCTGGTCATCTCTTGTAGTATGTCGGCAGTCTCTGTTATCTTCTGTAGTATGTCCGCAGTCTCTGGTCATCTCCTTTAGTATGTCCGCAGTCTCTGGTCATCTCCTGTACTATGTCCGCAGTCTTTGGTCATCACCTGTAGTATGTCCACAGTCTCTGGTAATCTCCTGAACTTTGTCCGCAGTCTCTGGTCATCTCCTGTACTATGTCCGCAGTCTCTGGTCTTCTCCTGTACTATGTCCGCAGTCACTGGTCATCTCCTGCAGTATGTCCGCAGTCACTGGTCATCTACTGTACTATGTCCACAGTCTCTGGTCACCTCCTGTAGTATGTCCGCAGTCTCTGGTCATCTCCTGTAGTATGTCCGCAGTCTCTGGTCATCTCCTGTAGTATGTCCGCAGTCTCTGGTCATCTCCTGTAGTATGTCCGCATCACTGGTCATCTCCTGTAGTATGTCCGCAGTCTCTGGTCATCTCCTGTAGTATGTCCACAGTCACTGGTCATCTCCTGTACTATGTCCACAGTCACTGGTCATCTCCTCTAGTATGTGTCCGCAGTCTCTGGTCATCTACTGTACTATGTCCACAGTCTCTGGTCACCTGTAGTTTGTCCGCAGTCTCTAGTCATCTCCTGTAGTATGTCTGCAGTCTCTGGTCTTCTCCTGTACCATGTCCGCAGTCTCTGGTCATCTCTTGTAGTATGTCGGCAGTCTCTGGTTATCTTCTGTAGTATGTCCGCAGTCTCTGGTCATCTCCTTTAGTATGTCCGCAGTCTCTGGTCATCTCCTGTACTATGTCCGCAGTCTTTGGTCATCACCTGTAGTATGTCCACAGTCTCTGGTAATCTCCTGAACTTTGTCCGCAGTCTCTGGTCATCTCCTGTACTATGTCCGCAGTCTCTGGTCTTCTCCTGTACTATGTCCGCAATCTCTGGTCATCTCCTGTAGTATGTCCACAGTCTCTGGTCATCTCCTGTAGTATGTCCGCAGTCACTGGTCATCTCCTGTAGTATGTCCGCAGTCACTGGTCATCTCCTGTAGTATGTCCGCAGTCACTGGTCATCTCCTGTAGTATGTCCGCAGTCACTGGTCATCTCCTGTAGTATGTCCGCAGTCTTTAGTCATCTCCTGTACTATGTCCGCAGTCTCTGGTCTTCTCCTGTACTATGTCCGCAGTCTCTGGTCATCTCCTGTACTATGCCTGCAGTCTTTGGTCATCTCTTGTAGTATGTCGGCAGTCTCTGGTTATCTTCTGTAGTATGTCCGCAGTCTCTGGTCATCTCCTTTAGTATGTCCACAGTCTCTGGTCATCTCCTGTACTATGTCCGCAGTCTTTGGTCATCACCTTTAGTATGTCCACAGTCTCTGGTCATCTCCTGTACTATGTCCGCAGTCTTTGGTCATCACCTATAGTATGTCCACAGTCTCTGGTCATCACCTGTAGTATGTCCGCAGTCTCTGGTCATCTCCTGTACTATGTCTGCAGTCCATTGGTTCAGAATATTTTTGTTCTTGTTTTCCTCCTCTAAAACCAAGGTGTGTCTTATGGAGCAAAAAATACGATAAGTAGTACAGATCTCTCCCCTGTCAGCTCCTGCACACTGCTTTGTATTGCTCTGCATATCAGAGCAATACAAAGCAATGTGCTTACACAGTAAAACACACACACAGCACTCAGTAAAACAGCACAAAGTTAACCTTTTGATCGCCCCAGATGTTAACCTCTTCCTGCCCCATGTCATTAGTACAGTATCAGTGCTTTTTATTAGCACTACTGCATTAGTGTCACTGGGGATGTCATTGACATTAGTCAGCTCCCCCCCAGTGTCAGAATGCCTGCCTCAGTCCCGCTATAAGTTGCTGATTGCCGCCATTACTAGTATATATATATATATATATATATATATATATATATACATAAATTCCAGTATATATACCGCCATTTGTAGACATAACTTTCACGTAAACCAATTAATTTACACGTATTGGGATTTTTTTTTAGCAAAGACATGCAGCAAAATACATTTTCCCTTAAATCTATGATGAAATTTGATTTCTTTAATTTTTTTACTGGACATGTTTAATAGCAAAAAGTCAAAAATATTGTTCTCAATATTGTTCTCAAAATTGTCGGTCTTTTTTTGTTTATATAGCAAAAAATAAAAACCACCAAAAGAAAGCTCCAATTTAATTTGGGTGCAGTGTTGCATGACCGCGCAATTGTCAGTTAAAGTAACGCAGCGCCGTATCGCAAAAAATGGCCTGGTCAGGAAGGGGGATAAATTCTCTGGAGGACAAGTGGTTAAAAACCGGTCACTAGTGGTTTGGCAATTGCAGATCGCCTGTGAATGTTTTGCTTATGGAGTTCCTTCCACACATTTTTCATGGACATGGGCTTTGGAAAAATGGTATTAAGCTCTGCAGTCACTTTTGCAGCAGTTGTTCTCTTATTTCGGGTCACAATTCTGTGTCCTTTTGTCTTTTTCGGTCACTTGACCATGTCGACAGTGATTTATGCTTATCAGATGATGTTTTCCCGCACACTGTATTTGCTGTCAATCTTTGATACTGTACCTCACGACACAGTAAATTGGCAACTTCAGTCACAGAGGCACTAGCTAAGCAGGCACCAACAATTTGCCCTCTTTGAAGCTCAGTAAGCTCTGACATGACTCTGTTTTTCCAGCAGCGCACGTATTGAAGGACGAAAGTGAGGCTTCCCACATGTTAGCTAGGTGTCTCATCACACAGCAGAAGCAAAAGAGTGTTACATCACGTCCGCTTTCAATGTGAAACATGTTATCACTTTCACACCAGCAAATCATGTAGTGTTTTTTCATATTTTGTAATAATACATTGTACAATATTGCTATACATGTCTCATGAGGCAATGGGGTTGATTTACTAAAACTGCAGAGTGCAAAATCTGATGTAGCTCTGCATATAAACAATCAGCTTCCAGGTTTTTTTTTTTGGCAAAGCTTAATTGAACAAGCTAAAGTTAGAAATTGATTGCACAGCTGTACCAGATTTTGCACTCTTTAGTTTTAGTAAAAAACCCCAGTGTGCCAACTTACCCGGGCATCATCATGACTACACAGTGCATTACTGTTACTGATTTTTTTGTGTTTTCTCTACCTTACCTCCAAACTCTCCTTGGCCAATCTTCTTTCCAAGAGTCAAGCGCTGAAAACTAAGTAACCATCCAGCTGTAAGGAAGGAAGATAAGTTACATGTTTGTATCATTGGAAATGGTGTAGAGAAGAAAAATAGCATTTATACTTGAACCTGATCATCGACAAGTTTTAAAGCTTTTAGGTCAACATGACAGCCAGGCAACTACAATTCAAAAATTGGTGAGTAAAGGCAACTCCTATATGTTATATTATTTTGTTGTGTATGATTTCTTCTTTACTGTTCTGGAAACTAAGAAAATTACATTTAAATATGTTCCTTTTTTAAGTAGGCATATAGGACATATTGTATGGAAAAGCCCTGGGACCATCCTAAAATTCTGAGTTTAAAGTTTCAAAATCAGAGTTCTGAGATTAAGGCTCAGTTCACACTAGCTTTGTCAGCAGGTGTCATACAGGCGTTTGGGTAGTGTTTTTAACGCTTCTCAAATGCCTATGAAAATTCTGCACATGGCAGCACACACTGCTGTTCACACTGAAGCTTTAGCATCGCGGCAAAACTGGCGCCTCGTGTTGAGTCAGGAGGAGTTGAAGCCTTTCATTGAAGTCTATGGTGCCGCTCCGCAAACACCTGGCAGGCGTTTGCAGTGTAGTTGCGATGCTGTTGCGAGGCAGTTGAGGAGTGTTAATACCATTTAACTTCATTATAGGCATTTGTGGTGCGGTTTTAACACTTTGCAAACGCCTCTCAACTGCCTCAAATCCAGGCACGGGGCGTTTGGGGAGCATTTGAGGAGCGTTAAAAACATTTCCCAAATGCCTGTCAAACGCTATATGGGCGTTTGGCAAGAGTTAGAAATAAAGTCAAGTGTGAATGAGCCCTAAAAGTCAGAATTCTGAGTTTGTAAATGCAGTAGCCTCTCTTAGGAGAGTTGTGGTTTGTAGGATAGATAACAACACCATGGATTGTTGACCAAGGAAATATCCGATCACTTTCTGGATGATCAGGGAATTTGTCCCAATGCCGGAGCATATTGGACCATATTTCATTGGGAGTATTTTGCCTTCCACTGGATCAAACTGGGTATAGGATTTTGTATATGGAGGTTTTCTATTTATTTATTCTGTTAATTTGGGGTTTTTCTGTTTTTTATTAATTAGGTGGGCTTGTGTCTTTTTTCAGCCTGGCTAACTATGTAACCATGCCCATCGCCAATCTGTCTGTAAATGTCAACTAAAACAGTGCTGTTCATCTGCGTGGTGTGAACCTGGGTTGGGGAAGAAAAGAGAGTTAGTGCTTTCCTTTTAAGTCAGCAGGTGGAACTTCAGGCACCTTTTTCATATGTTTTCTCTGTCTTTTTTGCCTAAAATGTACATACATTTTTGAATGTGTCCACAGAGCGATTCATCCCTTGTCTGTGTCCACTGCTTCAGTCAGAGAAATCAAGTCTCAAAGAAGGCAGTGTTCATAGTGAAACTTTTGTCATATGATAAAATGGGAAACAAAGCTGAGGCTAAGATCAGATTTATTTGAAGAGAGAAAACAGAAAGGTGGCAGAGTTAGGATACGTATAGAAAAATATAGCTTTGAATTGTACAAACGTTCTAGAGACATTTGAAGGTTGAGGTCGGAGACAATGCATATTTAGGAATTAAGAACTTGTGAAAATAATTTACCTAACCTACTTAAAATGAAATGTTTTGGGAATAAGCAAACCTTTCGAGAGTTCTTCTTCTGCAGATTTGGTTCCTTGTTTAGGTTTAGGTTTCAGTAGCTTAGTGCAGAGCGCTCCTTGATTAATGGTGTAGAACTGAAAGTGGAATGGAATGGAAAGTAGTAAGAATGTGCACAACAGTAATAATAACTACTGTAAACAAACAGGAAAACCTTTACATAGTCCTTTGCTTGCAAATGATGCCTCTTGTCATCCACTGATTGCAATGATGATCGTTAAAATCGTTCATGTGTGACGCCATCATCAAAGATAGTGCAAATTGACATATGGGTTGAAAAAAAAAAACAAAACACAAATCCATCTACTTCAACAAACTAACCCAAAACAGCATATACTGTAAAATACTGGATGCATCCAGGACCAAGCAAACTCTGCATGTGTCTGCTGTGGGGCTTGAAAGGTTGCCCTGTGGCACATCCCAGTATGCCTTAGAACCAGCACTTAGCTGGTCACAAGTCCAAACTTCAGCAAACAGAAAAAACTCCCTAAGTGCCCAGCTGCCTCTTAGTAGGCAAAGCCGATTGACTGATAAAAAAAAAGAAAACCGATCTATGGTCAGCTTTAGTCTGTACCCTATCTCAGCCTGACATATCTTTAGCTGGAGATTGAATGAGTCTGTCCTCATGACACATA